TTTAACAAAATCTGCCTACAAGAAAATATATACATACATACACATTATACTTCTAAATAAATTTCAATAAGTTTTTAAATATATGTAAAATTAATATGTCTCACTTGAAGATCTAATAATCCACATGCATGTACAATTTTATTTCTTGTTAAGAAATTGCTTATAACACATCATATTTGTAACTAACACAAAAACAAGACATTTTGTTTCATGATATATTTTGCATAAATGTTTTAAACATATCTGTCATGTTCTACCTGTTCTACGTTATTACTTTTTTTCTACTTCACAACATAGCTTACTTCAGTATCTCTTGTCTATTATAATGGTTCTTCATGACTCGCTTTAGTATTTCATGACCTATATTTTTATCTAAACTAGATACAACTGTTATAATGGTTCTTTATGATCCACTTCAGTATTTTATTACCATGTAACACAAATATATACATATATGTTGTTTAGAAGTAATACAGTAGTCCTTCTTGACCGAGAACTTATACAGTTGATTTTATACAATCTTTTAATATCCATTTTAAATTAAACACTGTTTATGATTTCTTATGAATTAGTCAAAGTTAATATGAATTACAAAAGAATAAATATGGGCTTAGAACTGGTATGTATGCAAATATCCCATAAAAACATGCATAATTATATACTGCAGAATACAAGCAACAAAAGCTGATATATATATATATATATTCTATTTTTTAAGCAAAAGAAAAAGATATTTAAAACAAAAGGATTTAGATAATTTAGTGAGTTTGGCAAATGGATTTTAATTATAATAAATACAAGATAATGCATGTGGGTTATCATAATTTGAATTATAACTATAATTTGAATGGGAATAACCCTAACAGTGTCACGAAAGAATGGGATCTTGGTGAAATGGTTGATCAGTCTCTTGAGCTGTTGCTAGTGGTAAGACAAATAGGATATTAAGTCGTATCTATAGAGATATTGAATACAAGTCTAAAGCGGTTATAATTTCATTGTATAGGTCACTGGTTAGGCCAAATTTGGAGTATTGTGTTCAGTCTTGGGCTCCTTACCTTAGGAAGGACATTGAATTGTGGGAAAGGTTCAGAGGAGGGTTACTAGAATGGTGCCTTGGATGAAGGCATTGTCATACAAGATGTTGAGATCTCTCAAATTGTTTTCTTTTGAAAAAAAGAAGAGTAAGAGGGGATCTGATTGAAGCATTTAAGATTGTAAAGGGAATTGATAGTTTGATGCACTATCATCTTTCATATTTAACAGCAAGAATAGTTAAGACAGTTTTATTTTTCTAACAGGGTGGTTGGCCTTTGGGATGTGTTGTGTTTGGATCTTGTGAATGCAGTAAATTTATGTAAGTATAAGAGAAAGCTTGATAACTATATGAATGATAAGGGCTGGCTTTAAGATTTTTTTTCTAATTTATTCATTTAATAGTTTTAGTTTAGTTTAGAGAATGTGGCAGCCAAGATGGACCAATAGGTCCCTTGTTGTCCCAAAGCAGTGTGTTATGTTAAATTCTATTATAATGATGATTCAACTATCTTATCTATAGAACAACTTAAAAAAAGGTAACCATGTTGGATAATAGGTAAGCCTCAAACAGAAAATTTTATTAATCCATAACAAGTTTATCAAACAGTCTAGAGACAACCATTCTATTTAAAACTTTCTTTTTCTTTTCAGAACAATGAATTACATTTAACATATAGCTCAAGCATTTTCTTTTTCTTGTGACATTAAGAATCACATCAACCTATAACAAAGTTCATACCACAAACAAATAAGAACTGTATAAAAATAAATATTCTTAGTAATAATTGATTAATAGACTGGTACAAATGCATGTAAGTAACTGAGTATTGAAGTGCCTACTATTATATGTATAAAAATGAGCTACATGTTCATAAAAGTTATAAAATTAAATAAATTTTATTGACTGGAACAATACTTAGAAAGTCTTTTTATAGGTTAACAAAAGTTAATATTCCAAAATCATTGGCTGTTAAAATACATATCAAAATAATTCTTTTTTCAGATATAACATATTCATATAAATAAGTTATTGGAACAAAATAATTACTAGATTCGGTAAATCAGTCATTGTTGAACTGTTGCATATTCATAAAAATTTGTAGAGGCAGAAATTATTTATAAACTTATAGTGACTGAATTTTTAATGTTATTGGACTAGCAGATGACTTATAATCATAACAAGTAGAAAGCAATACTTAAATCACATTATTTAATTCTGATCCACAATTTGTATAAAATAGTTCAATATCTCATACTGTTTTCAGACAATTCTTAAAAATTAAGTTAAGAATATAAAACTAAACGCAATAGAAACATATAAAGAATATGATAATGTAAAGACTAAATGGAATAAATAAGAATTCCAATCCAGCTTACCTTCTGTCTTTTTAGTTTTATTTTCTCTTTTTTTCACTTTTTCTAAAACATAAGCATCCCACTCTTCCTTGCTTGAAAGTAAATGACGAATCCAACCAACACATGTTTGTTTTAGTTCTTCTTCGATATTTTCTGCTTCCATGATTATTCTTGAAGTTGAAGTGTTTCTCTCGCTCTTGAGTTTAACTATAACACTGTAAGGATATATTAAACTGATAGTGATACACAATCACAATGGCTGGCAGCTTTAGACTTTAGTTGATATTAATAATGATACTGATTCGGTGATACACTAGGCCAGTGATTCTGAACGTGGGTCAATTTGAAAATGCTACAATAAGAAAAATTTTACATTATATTATTATATCTTTTCGACACCAAATTTGTTTTATATTAAGGGTGCATCAAATTTTTTGAGGTGTGGTGGTGGGGCATGGAGCAAAAAAGAACTACTGAACTAGGCCTACAGAAGAACGTACGAATAAGAGAAATCGATGACCATTCCTCAACACTATGTAAAAGAAAATTAACAGATCTTTAACAACCGTAAGTTTGAGATAACAAATATAGTTGATAAACTGGTTTCTTTACTAGTTTAAAATGGGTTTCTTAATTACAACAAGCGACAATCGTGAGTTAGCTATCTCACGATGAATGCAATCACTATAAGTTATACTTTTACGTGTTTTTCGCACTCTAGATGCTTGCCTCACTGCGTAAATGTTAACATATTTTAAACATCCTTTTGATTTTCCCAGTGTATTTCAAAAACCAAAATATTTCACTTCTTCTTACATAATTGAATTTTTTTTATAAAAGAAGTATGGGTAAGTTTCTTCTAAAAAAATTTTACAGCTGTTATTTCTGAAGCTTAAACATCAAATTGAAACGATGGTGAAAATCTTTTCCGAGTAGCACTCGAGGTATGAGGTACAAACACATTGGTAGGCGTCGTACCCTTATTATTCATTACTTTGCTCTAAAAACAAAACAAAAAATGTCCACAGCTATACAGATGATAATAATTATTTACAATTGGTGTTCAAAATTCAGGAATCTCGAAACAACGTGACAATTTAAAGTATTTGACAATATATTTAGTTCATAGCGTTACTTTCGTTTCAATAACAACGTTGTGTCACAAATAATAACGCTACCTGCTGTTTAATTTGTGCTTTAAACATTTTAAAATAAAACCATAGAAGTATGATCTTTATAATACGTCTATGGGCAAAATAAATCACTCATCGAACTAACATATTTCCCATGTTCATAAGCAAATTATATACAGTTGTATAAAGGTTGATAAAAATGACATATGCGATACACACACTCACACAAAACATCAAAATAACAAGGAGAGACCACGTGACCCTTGAGTAATAATATTTTTTATCGGCTCCCCCGGTGGGACAGCGGTAAATCTTCGGATTTACAACACTAAAATCATTGGTTCGATATCCCTCTATGAATAAAGAAGATAGCCCGATGTGGCTTTGCTATAAGAACACACACCTTTTTATCGTAGTTAGAATAAAAACGTGTAAGTGTGTGTGAGTTTTCTTATAGAAAAGCCATATCGGGCTATCTTCTGTGTTCACCGATGCTAATCGAATCCCTGATTTTAGCGTTGTAAATCCGAAAACTTACCACTGTCCCGCCGGAGGACAAAACGTGTAGGATTCTAATCGTTAATTAAACTTCATGTTATAGTTTTGTTTTTATGAAACTCTTGGATGGAAGCATGAAGGTACTTATTTAACGAACGTCCAGTAGTTATTGGTTTTTAAGGAGTAGTTTGAGAAAAGTGAAAAATGTATTAATATATTTTACAAATGAATATTTGAATTGTGTTTCAATATAAATTTGTTTTAGAATTTGAGCTAGTTTTTCGTTTTATTATAAAAATTACCAGAAATGTTTATTTAGCATTATGTAATTTACACTATTTTGTATTATTCGTTGTTTATGGCTCTATGAGTGATGGCTTATATATTACTGCTGATGGTAACATGATATCTTACAGACCACAATATCTTCTTAAAGAAAAGTATAATGACAATAATCAATTTTATTAGGAAGTTACAATGTGTTACATAATGATAGTTCGCTTTCGTGTATAAGTGTGTGTACATTTAATGAGCACGAAGTTTAACCTGTTACTGACAGAGTAATAATTAGATTAGATACAACATCAATTCGAGACAATGAATTAAATAATTATATAATATCCTCATTAGCCTGTTAGCTTCTGAGGAAGTGTTACGTCTTCTTGATTTGATTGGTATAGCGTTACATCTTCATCCATTTTGTGAAATGGTCCATCATTACCGTGTTATACTTATGTCCATCTCTCTACTATAGTATTGGAACTAGAATAGCCACTACCACACTGCCAGTCTTTCAAGTATGCTCCAACAACGTAGTGTTGAGATTACCCACGCTACTTTTTTTTTTGGGGGGGGGGCGTATTTTTCTTTCAATTCTCCGTTCTTACAAAGATCGTCCACCTTCACCCATTAAAAATTTAATTAACTTATCCTTAAGGCTCAACAATTTCGAAGTTTAGAGATAATGAGCTACGAGTAGTTATATAAGTTAGCACCACTGGGCATATTGACCACGATAGAGACAAGATACCATATAATCGATTAAAACGCCTTCTGCTGTCTTTAAACCTTAATACAGCTTTCATGATGAGAATTAGCTGGGTAACTTGGCTTACTTTTATGAGTTATTTGTGAGTATAAAATAAAATAGTGCTTTTCATATAATATTTTTTATATTTATCAGAGAATAAGAAGCTACATATAAGGATATGAAACTACGTCAACTTAGCATCATATGGTGTACTTTAATAATGAAAGGCTTGTACGTTCTGACAATTGAGGTTAATTAAACGCAACTAAGTATAACAAAATGATTTAATTTTTCCAGATTTTTCCGAGATAAATCTTGTTTTATATCAGTTACGTAAAGCCTCAATGATAGCTGAACAAAATATGTACAAGGGTTTGACTAGAATTTTAAGTTTATGTTAATATTCCAAACGGGTTCGTTACTATGCGGTGAAATATACACTTGTATCATCTTTGGTATATATCATTCATTGGTTTAAGTTTTTACATAGCATGTGTTACATTTAAATGTGTGTTCTTCTA